TCCTGTTTCAGTGCACAGTAAGAAGAGGGCTGATGGAGTTGCTCAAGTTCTGCTCACAAGTTAAAACTAAAATATTGTGAGCCATCACTAAAATTAATTTCCCTTAATAAGATAATCCTCTTGAACACAAGATGGGTGAGTTTCTATGGTTGCCACTGAAGCCAGGTGAAAATTATAATTCTCTGAGAAATGCTGTGTATTACCACTTCGGTGTGGCATTAGGCTTTTTACTCAGCCTTTAAAATTATGCTGCTGGAAAGTAACCATAAGTGTTTCCGATTGAAAGCTAGAATTCAAAAGTGACAGGAACATAGCTGCAAATGTGTTATCATGTCAAATTTAAAATGATGTTTGACATCTTGAGTTTACCAATACCTAAGAGAGTGACTGAAAAAAAGGGCGAGCTAAACCAGCTGAAAGAAATGGGGTGACAAGAAGAATAGGTGCTCTTTACATGAAGGAACAAAATGTGAAGGGTAGGTTTTTTCATTTTTTTTTTTTTTTTTTTTTTTTCCAATTGGTGTCTAACATATGCTTCATAAGTTATAGAAAATAATGCAAGGGGATTTTATATTCCCCCATACGATGATGGTCTAGACCCTGGAAAGCTCTCAGTGGAAGGCAAAGATTAAGTTAAATTTTTGCAAGACTCTTAGGATTTGACCAAGACCCCTTAATATGCTCAGTTTGCTGTTAGAATTAATTGCTGGCAACCTTGAATCTCTTATGTACTGATTAGTCTTTTCTAGTAGGCTGTCAGCTTTACTACAGCCTCAAAGTGGAAACTTTACATTCTATTTTCTGTTCCTTTTTCTTTAATATGGTCATCTGTTAAATAATAGCTAGTGACTGCTGTTCGTGTAAATCACTGCCTCAAGATTAAAAAAACAATCTCTTAAAATGAGGAAAGTTACCATGTAAAAGGTTTTGCTAGTTGAAGAGGACAACTAGACTATATGTGAGTTACATCTTTAAAGAGTGGGATGCACTGTCTGACTAAGGAAATAAGAGAAATGAAGAGCTACTTACTTAGGGCTACTGTGGTGAAACATACTCACTCTGCTGACTTACAGCATTACATATGTAAGTGCTCATGAATAAGTGATGTTTCTGTGTGCAAGGCTTGTACTTCTCTTTAATCTTCAGTTAGAGTTCTCATCTTGTTCTGAGTCTCCTCAGACAGACGCGTTTAAATTCCAGAGACTGGAAAGCCACCCTCAGGTCGCTTAGAACAGCAGCTGTGCGGAAACATGCATACAGAGACTGATTCTGTGCATGTATATATAGCCATGTTGCACAGATTGTGTATGATGCATGTACACACATACGTGAACCCCCATCCCTACATTTCTGTGTATGAATGTCTGAACATAAGCAATAATCAATCACAATAAGAGGTAAATTTCGGTATTTCTGGGAAATGTCTGCTGAGGCTTTTATGTTTTTGCCTGAGTACAAGCAGAATGCTGAAAGCTCATATGGATTATACACAGAAATGGCTTTGAACACATTTTATTTTTGCTTATATTCATAATTTACAAATTATTTTTGTTAATATAAAATTGATTTCATTCTGTAGATTATGGGAAAAAATGATGCATAATTGTATCCAGCTATATAAAGTGATTATCATTTGACAGTTTCTAGAGATCACTGCAGAATTATATGGCAGTGGTGTAGATTTAAATACTAAGATTTTCTTAAGTAGGTTTGCCCTGCTCTTTGAGAATTTTGGGTACTGAATGCAATACAGTATATACAACTATAACATTACAGGAATGTGTCTTACATTCCTTAATGCTGAACCCACTCTAAGAAGTAAATCTGAGCATCAGTCATCTGTTACAAGGTTCACACTGATATTTTGAAGAAACAGTGAATAGGCCATTGTATGTGATATTAGAGGAACTGTATGCAGAACAAGAAGTAAAAAACCCCACATCAGTACTCAAAGAAAAAAGAGGGTTTGGATAAAAATGTAAAATTATTGGAGGAGAAGATTAATAGGCATTATTAGAGAAATAGGTATGTGTCAATGGTATTTCTTTAGCCCTTATTATGTAGTAAGTTTCAAACTAATGCTGTGCTTATAAAGACAGAGAAGAAACTTCAGGAACTGGCCTCTGTTTCTGCATAATTCCCCTATTCTCCCATTTAATTCACACACATAGAGATTTGTTTGTTTTATTTTCTGTGTTTTCACTGGATGGACCGTGTTACATTTAAACCACTCAAAAGGAATGAAGATCATATAAAGGCCACATAAGATAAATTACTTACAAAAATGAGAAAGAAATAATTCTCTTTTCCCAAGATATTATCGCCCAGAACAATGATATGAAATTAAAGGATGGGAAAATTGGGCAAATGTGAGGAAGTCTTCAACAGTGTGAGAAGGCCCAGTGTCTGAATAATTGCTTTTGACAGGTATGCTACAAGGGCCAGACAGGCAAGATCTTCAAAACTGTTTGTCATCTTCTGTTGTGATTTTTTACAAGAAAGAAGGAAAAAAAAAGACTGAAGTTGGAAACTTATATGTGTTTTGAGGTTATGAGGAAAGCTACCAAAGGCCCCAATTTAAAGATTTCAGAACTGTGAACAAGAAATGAAATGTTACAAGATTTATGAGGGGTTGGAGTTCAGTGAATGTGTGGCTAAAGAAATGACTTGCATTTTAATGAAGTGTATTACACTTGAGAGGCAATAGCTTGGTTATCCTTTCTGAACAATGACTTTGACTGTGTGCGGCTGTCAAAGAGAGCTCATTATACCAAAGAAGTTATAATTCAGCTCTATAGATTGATATGATGGCCTTCAATTCATGGTGTGCTTCTAAAGGCAATGGAACCAGCAGTGAGGGGCATCCAAAATGGTAATTACTTGTGGGAAATAGCTTCATGGTTTTAACTTGCAATTCAAAGGGCTCTTTTCAAGAAAAAGAACTTTTAATTTGGCCTGTAACCTACACCTCAAGGCTACCCTACAACTTTGCACAGCAGCAAAAAAATTGTGAGTCTATCATATCATCCAGATTGAGAGAAAGCACTTAACATATATCGTCTCTGAAGCAGAAGTTCGTAATTGATGTTATCTTTGTAAATATTGTGTATTTGTTTCATGTTTTTTCCCAGCTTGCAGAATTTCTCACTACTTTGCTTGCTTGTTTCAGCAGTAAATGTTGATTGGCTAAACTTTAGTCTTAACATCAAGTTAACACTTTTTATTAAGTGAATGGTAAAATAATTTTTCTGTCTGTTGATGCTATTATCAGTCAGCAGACTGCTTACTTGAATATTGTCATGGTGTGAGCCTGGTCGGCAGCCAACCACCATGCAGCCACTCTCTCTTCCTTCTCTTCCGGCAATAAGAAGGGACAGAGAGCCAGGCTTGGGGTTCAAGATAGGACTGGGATGGGAGAAAATCCCCCTTTATGTGCACGAGAAAAAGGCAGACTTGCTAGGGGAAGAAAAATAAATCATACGTTTATTACAGACACTAACAACACATAACAGAGTAGGACAGTGAGAAGCATTGCCACATCTTGAGAACACCTTCCCCCCACCCCTCCCTTCTTCCCGGGCTCAGCTCTGCTCCCGATATCTCCACCTCCTCCCCCAGTGGCACAGGGGCAGGGAATGGGGGGTGCAGTCAGCGCTGCCACTTCCTTCATCTTCAGTGAGGGGAGCTTCTGGAATTTGTTCCTCCTGCTCCATCGTGGTCCCCCTCTCACAGGACACAGTCCTCCACAAACTTTCTCCGACATGAATTCCTCCTATGGGCCGCAGCATTCCCCACACTGCTCCGTCATGGGTCACTAACTTTCTCCGACTGGAGTCCCTCCCACGGCTGCAGCCCTTCCCGAGCTGCTCCGGCGTGGGACTCCCCCGCATGCTGCAATCCTCCCAGCGCTGAATTACAGCAGCGGGGCTACCTTTTCCCATGAGACCCCGGCCTTCTTCGGGCACAGAACCTTGATTAACCAGGCGAAAAACACAGGCCATAAATCAACGTCTGCTCCACCGTAGATCTTCATGGGGGAGGAGGGGCGGGGGGGAGGGGCGGGTGGGATCACCCTGCTGTCTCCCCATGGGGGTCTCTGCTCCGGCACACCTCCCCCCTCCTTTCTTCCTCCGTTCCTCCACTGACCTTGGTGTTCATGCAGCTGCAGCAACTCCTCCTCACAAGTCCGACTGCCCGTCACCACGTCCCTTCTTAAATACGTTATCGCAGAGGCGCAGATGATTGGCTCAATTTCCCAAACAGAAGTGGAGCTGACTTGGAGCTGGGGGAGCTTCGAGAAGCTTCTCACAGGGAGCTGCCCCTAAAGCCCCCTCCCCTGCCACCAAAAAAACCCACCACTCACTCAACCCAGGAAAAATGTTTTTCTATTTGTGCTCTGATTGATCACCAACTATTTCTGCTTTCTAAGTAGACACCTACAGCTGCGTTGTGTATGAAAATATCAACATGGGTAAGAAGATCTTCTCATTGATACCTCTATTTTATGTGCATATATGTTTCCAAAGCAAAGCTATCCTCCAAGCCTTAGGCTAGCAAGCAAATTTATCACAGTGCTATCCCCTGTAAAAGAATACTGTAGCAAAAAAGTTTATACAAGATTAAATGAAACACCACTTGAAATTCTGATACATATTCATAGTTCTGAGGTTTTATTTATTCATTCAGATTTATTCTTTTTATAGCAACATCATGCCAGGATTTTTTTACCTCCTACATCAAGGACTTAAATGAAAATCCTACAACCACAGAACAAAACCAGGCTTAGTTCATATGTTAATGAGTCAGGATAATTGCAGCTTTCCCTAGGTAATCTCAGTGTCAATTATTCATGAACCATTGACAGCAGACATGACATTTCCAACTGACAGCTTTCAGTCGTTTTGTTTACAAGTATAAAATGCTTAAGTATGAAACGTTAGAAACGTTAGATAGGAGTTAAGATTTGTGACCTTTTTTTTTTTTTTTTTTCCCAGGAAAGATGGAAAAATAAGGAAAAAAAAAAAAAAACTAAGAGATACAGTGAATTTTCCTGATAAAGTACAGAAGAGTAGCCTATTCCTGCCAGTAACTTTTGCAGTGCTTCTGGAACAAAGCTATTGCTCAGGTATTAGGATCCACTGATCTCCAAGATCTGCACTGAGCCCAGGTAACAATATTATGTCCCATCCTGTCACATAGATAGTGCTATGCCACTGAAAGGGGAAGGAACCATGTTTTCCTTCCCATCCCCGCAGTGCTTGTTCCCCCCTAATGCACCAATGAATATCACATGTAACTCATGCTTGGAGAATATCACCAGGTGCCCTGCTCCAGTTCTGTCCTTTGGTCCATACCCCTTTATACTTCCAAAAAAACTAACACCATTAGAGGCATATTCTCAACTTTCCCTTTTGCGAAATTGGAGTCCCCTAACTTCAAAAGCTGCACAGAAGTTAAATGCAAACTCTGCAACCTGCAATATATAGGTTCTCACACTAAACGTTAAATTTTACCTACTAAAAGTGAAATTTCTGTGTATCTTTAAGTGCCTTTGAAAGTCTTATTTTATGACTGCTGTTCTTATATCTGTGAAGACATTAGAATACTTTCCAGTACCAGCACCCTAATTGAAATTAATTGACAATAATACAATAGGGAACAAGTTTTTAAAGGCATTTGAGTGCCTAAAGAAGCAGACAGGTACTTAGTGAGGTTTTTCAAAAGATTCTACACACCTGACTCCCATTATGAAAAAGTTTAAGAAGTCTCAGTCCATTAATAAGCTATTTTAGTTTTTCAGCCTTCATACTAATTTTGAGATAATGACTATTTAAGAAAATGCTCACCGAGGCTGACCATTTACATTTTTTCTAACCAGGTTATTTTTCATTTGAATACATATATTTCTTAGCATAGCATTACAAATGTTTTTTTAATTCTGTTTTTGAAATAAACTGGCAAGGCATAGTGGAAGAACTGGGTTTTAATCATGACTAGGGCTTCTTGAGTAACTAAAGTGGTTGGTTTTTAGAGTGCGTCAAAACTCAGTGTACAATAACATATTTCCAGAAATCCAGTCTCAGCTAAAGCGCAACACCCAAGACATGGACCCGATCCTCCATACTCTTTCAGCACATCTCCCCATATTAACTCTTATCTTGCAGCTTGCACTCATAATTCACTCAGCTACTCCTTCATGGTTCACAGACTCCGGTAGCCCATATTAACGCTGGTCCCTCTGGACTCTTGCTGCTTCTACAGTTCCAAGACATATTACTTTTCCATTTCATTATATAATTGACAATGTTCGATTGTCAGATTGAAAAGAGATATGTGGAATTTCCCAAAAGCAATGCTATTTTAATAATTTATTATTGTCAACTTGTCCATGTTCATACAGTCTTGTATAGTATGATCCTTCATCAGTCCTTTACAAATATGTTATTTTTCATATGTCGGGGAGGGGGCTTAATTTTATTCAAAGAAGTAGGTAGATTTGGGGTCTGTTTTAGGCAGGAGTGGGGTTTTTTTGCTAGACAACAAGTCACAGACAGCAGCACATTTTTAAAAATATTTAAATTAATGCCTTTAAATTGAAATAATTCAGATGGACAATACAGTAAAATACTCTGAAAACATTTATCCCAAAACTTCAGACATACTTCTTTCTTTTAACCATCTCTGGTTTTATATGAAACCATTTGTGGTATTTAGCAAACATGGATGCACTGGAGGACTTACTCTTGCCCTGCAGCTTGCACCCAGAAGTCCCTTTTATGTGAATGGAACATGCAGCAAGAAAATCAAAACTGATCCATAGTACATATGTTTTAAATATACAACACTAAGTACCCTCTTACTATTTGTACATGTATATGGAGGTGTTTATAGTCTCAGCTTTCATGCTGATTTGCCTTTTGAAGGTAGAAGGGGAAAGAGGAGGGGAAGGGTTCTCATGTGAGTTTTGCAGGTTTTTAAATCATTTGTGTCTTGAGCTGTTGTTGCAGTATAGTGCAACTTAAAATACCATTGCCAGATACACTAAAACAGCGATTTTATTAAATCTCAATTAAAATGCCGAGGGAAATAACGTTCCATCTTATAAAACTCAAAATATATTAATGTTGATAAAACGAATTGTTTTCCTTGACTTCTGGTATTGATTGACTGACTTCTAAACCACTTGATAGTCTAAAAGTATTTCAGATAAAAGGCAAACACGACCTTTTGCCATGATTATGTTCCCCAGATAGATATTCCTGTTTGCATGCACAGACAAGCAGATACTGTACTGACTTTTAAAGATCTTCCATAGATGTTGCAAAAAGAGGCAAAATTTCCTATTCTAAAATAGATAACATTAAAAGCATCCCAAAAGACAAGTGAGCAACAAAATTTTTACTTGTAAAAGTTTAATCTCTCAAGTGTAAAGCAAAGTAGTATGAAAAATATTATCCAAAGCAAACTGTTTATTTTATTTCATATTCTGAGTAAACCATCTGTGATTAATTCTGCCATGTAAATATCTGCCATTAGCTTCCCAAAACTTGGACAGAAGTTGGCCTTTTTTCACAAGATTCCCCATTTTTTAAATAAGCTGCGCAGTGGAAACACTACTATACAATAGCAAATTAAGTAAGTTCTTCAAGAAACAATTGTTTAAATTTTTTACAGTTGCTCTTTTAACTATTATGAAGCACTAGTGCATAATGGGTAATTCCCTTTTGTTAGATTACTGTCCAGTTGTGCATCTAGGTAATATTTGTGATGACTAGCTATTGCTAAATTTCCACGTAATTTCAGTTCAAGGATAAGGTACCACAGAAGATTTCTAAAGCTGATATGTTTCACTCCTTACCCTTTATTTTACAGTGTCATTAAGGAGACTGAGCTTTGCACAACAGCCTATGCTCACATCCATAGATAGAACACTTAGGGTACGTGCACAGTACTCCTCAAACTTGTCCACACTTCAAACAAAAGTCTTTAAATAGATATATGGGGTTTCTGAAATTTTCTTCATTAACATATTTTTCTCATGCTCTCCAAAATAGATGTCAGGTTATTGTTTATGATTGGGTCAACTGTTGTGCAGACATTGAATGCTATTCATTGCTGTTACAGTGTCCAGAAGAAAGGGTGAAGAAGCCTCTTAAATAAAAAGGAAGAAAAAAGTAAATCTGACATCAGTTTTGAAAAGTGAAAATGTGTTTTGCAAATCAAAATGATTAATTTGTCATTCTCTTGGAAAAAACTCTAATCAGTCAGAGACTCAAAACGCATAGTAAACAAAACCAAGAAATCTACAAAATAGCTTAAGCTAAAATAACCTTTCAGAATAACCATTTTTTATTATTTTTTTATAACAACAATAAATGGCTGGATTGATCTTAAAAGGTAGCATTATTATTTAGCATAGCAAATACTGATATTGTAGATAATTGCAAATCAGTTTGAAAAACACTGACACTGCTCAATTGACATTTTCTGGTTACTAATATGAGCTGAAAAACAGCTCTTCCATTATGGATGCCTGAAGAAAGTTTTATACTGGTAGAGATTTCATCTTTGCATCTAAATACAATGCTGTTGAGCACTTTGCAAAATCGGAACACCTTTCATCAGATCAGCTGTGCCTAGCCAGGCACTGGTTCATAAGGCTGAAGAACTTTTTCAGGTATTGTACGCTTCAGTGAAGTTGAGTAGCAGATAAATTGCTTTTATACAGTGGTAACTGCTCAAGAACAAATTTTAAGGATCCCTCTAAGCCAAGCGATTAACATTACAAATGTTCTTTAACCCCATACACTTGAGAAGCAGAAGGAGAGGTGGGGGAGGGACACACGGAGTCTGGGCATCGAACATCAGCAGTAGCTGGGACCTGTTTCTTGGCATTTACACCATCCTGAATATTTACATGCAGCCAGACCCAGAATTGCTTTCCTTTCCATCCCTTTTAAGGAAACAAATTTCAACTGGGTTTTCACTTTTTTTTTTGGTAGAATAAAAACTGTGTTATCAGTTTTGAATATCACATTTAGCCTCTACTTGTATTGAATCTGTATCAGATACCAGATCTGATACTGAAGATATATATATACCTATGTTAATTTTACAACACCAGTGTCATCACTTAATACTGTGATTGAGACTAACGCAGAAATTCCTTATCAGACAAAGGGGATGATGGTTGGAATGGTGGGATCAGGCTACCCAAACAACAAAATGTATGTCAGCAATGTTACAGGTTTTAACCACAGGTAAGGGATGATACCGACTTGGTGTGGGCTTGGCTTGGCAGGCTACTATCTATTATATATGTATGTATATGTACTGTAAACACAGAAAAGACACACGCCAGAATCAGGCACCCTCCAACTCTGGATACAAGTCTGACTGCCAGCGAGTCCCTCCAGGAAAGCTCTTTCCTCTGGAAGAGGAGGCTGTAGGGACAGCCCCCATCCATCTTATACATGGGTCAGGTAAAACACACCCTGAGGCTGTCAGTGCACTTAGATTCATGAATCAATCAGATTTTTGTCTGACTTTTCTATTAAAGATCCTATTTCAGCAAAACACTTACCCACTCTGAAGTCTCTTGTTCTAGTCCATTCATGTTCAGCAAACCATTTGTTCCTGTTTAACGTATACTTCTGTGACACTTTACTTTCAGTGGGAAATTCTGCTACGGTGAAGATACATTTATCCGCTTAGCCTTAGGGCTTATCTCTGAAGTGACAATGAAGTAAGTGAGGAAGTGCAACATGTTAGTTATTCCGTATCAGTTCCTTACCTGAACTTTTTAAGTGTGCAATAACCCTCTCTGAGTAAGCACTAGTGCTGTTCTACCATACTATCCCCTAGCCCTGCAGGTCACCTCTGTAGTAAAGAAATATCCCTTTACCTTGTGTCTGCAGAGCACCTCTCATCATGACCAAAGATTCTGAGTCAATTCTATAAATAGAGAATTTATATTATAGCATGCAGCAATTACTTATTTTACTGTATCTTAATTATACATTCTGTTATGCAATTATAAATTAAAATGTCACAATCATAAAAATTTAAAAGCAAACAACAAGTTGGATTTTAAACATCAAATTGGATTATAATTTCACAGTTTTAGTGCAAATGTATTCCTACCTACTATTTCTCTTTGCTATTTCAGGGGTTTGTAAGATGTTAGAAAAACAAGATCCAACAAAATTATAATACTTGTGCCTAATATGTAGTTATAAACGATAATGAAATAACCTTAGTTTTCCAAAACTAACCAATCTTTTTTAATGATTCATAAAACAGAAGATCTCTACTAATTACTTTATGGCTCAAAGTTATTTAATGAATGTTATGTGCATGTGCTTACTCTCATGGATAGCATGGAAATGGATGCCTGTTGGCTATTTGAAGTGACTTTTGATTCCTGGGTTGGAAATGGAAATGCAGAAAATGCTTTCTGCTGGTAGCTGCGCCTGAAGGAATTTTATGTTTTCCGATTTACCTTCTTTCACTGAAATCACCCGTGTGTTTATACTAGGTAAAAGATGTGGAGAAACCTGTCATTGACCAGACTGCTGTCATCCATACGAAGACAAAACTTCTGGGTACAGAAATACCAGCTCACAGTGTAAGTGCACCTGTTTCTTAGCTTTACTGTTCCAGAGCTAGATTTCCAATAAGATTGAGATTTCTGTGAATGCAATGTGCTGTTCAGAGGAACTATTAAAAAAAAAAAAAAAAAAAGGAAAAATACAAAATATGCTTTATTGATCCTGTTAAATCAATGACAAAGCTCCCATTCATTTCAGGAACAAATTGTTACCCCACAGTGACCCCACAATAGCTCTAATTGTCTGCAAACTGGAAGATTTTTCTAATATGCTACTTTAAGCCTATCACATCAAGCCCTAATGTCCCACTATAAATAAAAACCACATTTTAACACCCGTAATTATATGTTTATTCAGATTTCAGAGATAGGTCAAGAAAATTTATCTGCATTCTATGAAGCCTCTGCATTACGTGCACTGTAAAATGTCAGAAAATTTAAGGAGTTCTTAGTTATTATCTCTTCTGGTTGCATTTAAATACACATGATAAATATATAATATTTAAATATTATTATAGAAATCCAAAATAATAATAATAAAAAAATGAACTTACAAAGGCCATTGGATTTTTCATAGCAACATCTACTAGCAAACTAGGCTTAAGCAATCATTTGCATCTCAAACAAAATTTATGGATTGGCTTTAATTTCAAGCATTAAAAATTCCTTTTTCTTTCTATTTTAATTCCATTACATGATACCACAGAGTTGCAACCCATCAATCTTTTTTTCCTGTTTCTCACTTTGACATTTCACTTCCTTCCCTTCTTTTATTCTGTTAAATTTCTTTAATATTATCAAATCTTCCTCCTCCTTTTGTTTTCTATTCTCAATGTTACTTTCTCTCTTTGTTTTAGCACATAAATTATTTATACCTGCAAATTAGTCCTGCTCTGCTAAGTCTCACTCGTGGTACAGTGTTACAAGCTCTTTCCAATAGTTTTCCAGGTTCTGCTCATTCTCATTTCTCTGTAGGCTTCTTCACAGCTCACCTTCATGATCACCTAAGTCCACACTATATGTTATGCCGGGGAAACCAGTAAGCCTGATGCCAACTTCCTATGTTAGTTCCCCTGTACTTTTGCTGTCAGGAGCTCACACTAACAAACCATTATTTATTTTTTTAAAGTGGTTAATTACTGATTGATGAGTATAGGAAAACAAAACAATTGTTGTAAAATGCTTAGTTAATTATACTTTGAAATGAAATTCTAAGCTTTTTGCACTATAAACATTTTATTTCTTTGCCAATGAAAAGCAGATCCTTTTAGACTGTAGAGGTAGTAGCTTTACCTCCAGTGTCCTGGGCTGCAGTGCTATGACCATGGAAATGCAGGCTGATGTACAGCAGGGCATTCCCATCCACTGTTCCTGTTCCTGACACTTGCCTCTTCATCCTTCTCTGTACCTGCAGCTGCACTAGTGGAATTACATGGGGAGATGAACCATGGGCCTGATTTGCATGTGTGTGGGGGGAAAGTCTATTTTCAGTCTGAGCATGTTCCTGGTTGAGCTTAAGATCAACAAACATGACTACTGGTGCTGGCAAAGCATAGGAATGGGCACATATCCCTGAGGACAGGGCAAGAGGAGATGGCAAGACTCTGAGCAGATGCCCACCATTATGTCAGTTTAGGATGATCTTAAAACCTCAGCACTAGGAATAATGACATGTTAGGAAGCCATAAAAATGCAGTATCACAATGGTATAGTTTGTGTCCACATATAAAGTATCTTAACACATGCTTAATATAGCCAGCAGTATTCAGGTGACAAAACTGAGCAAGCGGAGCAGGATTCTCGTCATACAACTGCATACACATCCTCTTGCTGCGTGGCTGTGAAGGAGTAAACCACCTTCACACAATCAGTCACAGCACCTCAGTTGAGAGACAGTATTTCCTAAACCAGCTGTCATCTGTTGTAATTGAGCTAGGAAGTGTTCCTGCTTTATTTCACTGGATGGTTGAATGGATTAGTTGAAGGTAGCACAGCAGGGTAAGCAAGCTGCTCCTTGCACCTTGCTTCTTGAAGTTTGGTATGGAATATAAGCAGTTTTTAATATCAAGCTGCATCAATACATTCTTCAGAAGTTCCACAAAATTGTGTAAAGTATTATTTCATCATACGAGTATTTTTAAAATATTTGTAAAGCCTTCACTTAAATTGAATAAGGGCTTGTCTTCATATGGCATTCAGTTAAGTACTTGCTTCATAGTAAACCATCTGGAATTGATGACCATATTTGACTTTTGTGATTACTAAGTGACTTTGCACTCCATCAGTAAAAGAGATTATTTACTCCAGTTTCCTGGTTTTGGAAATGGAATAACTGTATCTTGTGACTATAACCGTGCACATGCTTTAGACTATCATCACTGAAGGAAGCTTACTAGTATGCTTCTCGCTGCACTACACATGCAAGTCCTCCTGCTCTAATACCAGTTCTCTGGGGAGGTCACCCAAATTAAGGCAGAATAATTTCTCAAATTAATAGAATTCAGACATGCCGGACTGTCATCAGCACTATAGTTTAAATTGAAGTAATTCTTGATTCCTTTTTACTTTACTGCTCCGTAGAGCATAATCGTGGTTTATTCAACTGATGTCTCATAATGCAACAGACTTGAGCAAGTGGAGCATATCCGAAACTACCCTTGGCAAATGCAATACACTTGCAACCTCTGTTTTATCTTCACCCATACTTCTCTGCCATTACTTGACAGGTGTTTTGGAGTACAAGCACAATAGTTGGTAAGACATTTGACCAGAACAAAACACCTGTCTTTTGTCTCTATGTGAATTGCAGTGCCCATAGAAAACCTAAAGTGCTGGCCTTACCCTTCAAATTTTAATGCTTACTTTACAGAGGTGCAAATGGCAGCATAAGATAAAGCAAACTTGAATGAGCTGTGAGATTACACAAACTGTTAGATTCATATCTTGTGAAATGATTTTAAAATTTCTCTTGGATCAGATACCAAGTAGGCTAAACAAATTTTGGTATTTCTACATTAGAGGGTTGTAAAAAAAATATCTGCTAAGATGCTAAGCATATAAGGCTAATATCATATTTATTGAGGCTATGTGACAAATAAGCGTAGTTCCAGAGAAGAGGATTGAAAAGTAATGTTTTTTCCAGCTATAACCTCACCTTCTTTTCTAATATATTTTAAATTAACGTTCAGTGAAATTGTATTTTATATCAGATACTTGTCAGTACAAATCTGAAAATGAAGGGGGTCTGTCTATATGAGACTTGCCTGTAAGAAGGGATAATTTTGAACTGTGAAATGAATACTCAGCAAAATCAATTCTGCCAATTATAGTGGCAAATGTATTATCCGAACTTGCAAATATTTACTGTCTCTGAGTATGTCTGGCTGGAGTATGCTTTTCTAATAAGAAATTTATGCATAATGAAATGTTTTGTTTTCTGGCTTTTCTTTGCTTTATCAGTAATGGATTAGGTTGTAAGCTGAAGTAAATTAGCACTAGAGTTTTTTTACAGTGACTAACACAAGAACAGGTACAAGTCCAATATTTGATTCCTTTTATTGTCACATTGAGGCATGTATGCCTAGCCCAAGTTCTATATACAACTGCACAAGTTTTAATTCTCCACTGCTGCTTTTACAAGGTGTTCTAACAGCTGAAAACATCAATGCTTTAAAGGATTTCTTTGGTGATTAGAACTCTTTTACTTAAACTTCAGCACAGTTTAAAGGAAGCTTAAGATCTAGCCAGAGCAAGACAACTCCAGATCTTCAAAGGGTGGTTTTGCAAGCCTGCATACCAAACAGAAAACTTACTCCTGGAAAGGATAACCTTGGAGGAACAAAGCTGTACCTGATTTACCTGTCAACTGGGTCAAGACAGCAGCTGGGAAGTTACAGTCCCCTCACGGTGCCAGAGAATTTTTGTTTCAAATTAAGCTCAAGTCAAGCATGAGTTGCAGTTTCATTCATATTAAAATAAATGGGTGCATTATTCAGCCTGGAAATAGGAAGGTTCAATATGTGTTTGTGTGTGTGTATTTTTTTAATATGTATGTATATTAACTCATGAAAATTAGAAAGTTCTTACTCAAGAGGTACTAGCGCAGACAGAGAGGCACGAACATGAACTCCTAAATGTTTCTTTTCCTCCATGTTCAAGATAAGTGTTTGTCTCTGAAGCCACTGAATTTTCTTCATAAGGTTTCTTAATATTTCTTTTGATATCTATATATAAAACAATTGTTACATAAGAATAAACAAAACACTTATATACTGTGCTAAATGAACCTGAATTTTTTTGATTCAGGTGAGTAAATCAAGAATATTGACCTATTTTCTTGTCCTTTCCCTCAATAAAACTTTTACTTTCATTCTTTTTCTAATTCTTTAATTCTGTGTTTCCTTTGTTTTCTCTGGCCAGTGCTATATTCAAGTTCTGGCTGGAGTATCATGATATGCTCTGAGGCTAGCAGAAAATTAATATTTTTGTAATGTAAACTGGCATGGACAAGACTAAGAAGAGATACCAAAATCACAAATACCAGACAAAGATCAGCTATAGACACAAAATTGTTTGAAATATTTTCCTCTCTGTAGTTCTGTAGAACAGTAAAAGCAAACATGTTTATAGAATCTGTACAAAATAATTTTTAAGAAAAATTCCAAGGCAAAATTATCGCTACTCTGTCAGCTCTTAAACTTCAATGCGAGCTTTCACGTAACATGTTTCAACACATCAGAGGCTGTTCACATCCAAGCCAGCCTCTGGCCTCTGGCTCTCTGTGCACACCGAGCGGCCCCAGCAGCCCACCCAGTCCACCGCTGGCAGCTGCCAGCAGCCACGACACGGGTCCCACACATGGTGTAATCCCGCAGGCGTCAAGAGTCTGTGGGAATCGCCACTGATGCCAGGCTCGTCGCGAGTGAAGTCCCCTACCTGCTTTCCCAACTGTCACACAAGTGGCCTCAACTCTTTGATTTGTTTCATTCTCCATAGAGTAGCACTAACTGGAGGTTAGGGAGGGTAGAACCATTACAATAAAAAAAAAAAAAAAAAAAAAAAAAAAAAAAAAAAAAAAAAAAAAACGGGGGAAAAGAATAAACAAGCAAGAAGACACAGCACTGCTGGGGAAGGAAAAGGGCTTTGGTTCTGGATAATGCGACATGCCAGAGGATTTTTTTACCCTCTGCTTGTGAGACTGACAGGCAGCACATCCATCACACCCGTGGATGGAACCAGCACCCCCTTCTTCCCCTCGCACCCCCTCAGCCCAGCTGTGACTGGCAAGGGCGAAGCAAAGCCCGCCCAAAAGACCCCCTGTGTGGTGTGGCGGCCCGACGGAACCCCAGCTCATGCCCCAAACACCGACAGCGAGCTCGGGCATGGGAAACAGCCTCCGGCAGGCAGAAGCTATAACCTGCAAGGCCGGTGTCTTGGTTTGGGCTGAAATAGAGTTAATATTCTTTTTCAGGGACTAGATGAATGCTGTGTTTTGGATTTAGCTTTGGGTTTGGTATGGGAAGAATGCTGATAGCACACTGATGTTTTCAGCTGCTACCGAGACTTCAAGGACTCTCCGACTCCCCATGTCCTGCCTGTGCGCAAGGGCACAGGGAGCAGGGAGGGAGCATGGCCAGAGCACCAGACCCAAATTGGCCAATGAAATATTCCATATCATGGCACGTCATGCTCAATATATAAAGGAGGGGTGGTTGGGAAGGAGCTCTCTCGCTTCCGGGATTGCAATTGTGGGATCTTGGTATCTCGGGGTCGCTGGCCGGGAACGGGCTGGATATTGGTTAGTGCGTGATGAGCAATTACGCTGTACATTGCCTGTTTGTGTATTTCTTTTTGTTTCCCCCCTATCATCGTTACTGTTCTCATTTTATTGCCATTATTAAACTGTTCTTATCTCAAAAAAAGAAAATTTCTTTTTTTTTTTTTGGGGGGGGGGGGGAAGGAATAAAAGAACATACATTTATTACAGACACTAACAACACATAACAGAGTAGGACAGTGAGAAGCATTGCCACATCTTGAGAACACCTTCCCCCCACCCCTCCCTTCTTCCCGGGCTCAGCTCTGCTCCTGATATCTCCATCTCCTCCCCCAGTGGCGCAGGGGCAGGGAATGGGGGGTGCAGTCAGCGCTGCCACTTCCTTCATCTTCGGTGAGGGGAGTGTCCGGAACTTGTACCTCCTGCTCCATCGTGGTCAGCCGCAGCGTTCCCCACACTGCTCCATCATGGGTCACTAACTTCCTCCGACTGGATTCTCTCCCACGGCTGCAGCCCTTCCCGAGCTGCTCCAGTGTGGGACTCCCCCGCATGCTGCAATCCTCCCAGCACTGAATTACAGCAGCGGGGCTGCCTTTTCCCATGAGACCCTGGCCTTCTTTGGGCACAGAACCTTGATCATCTGAGCAGGAACAACAGGCCACAAATCAATGTCTGCTCCACCGCAGATCTTCATGAGTGGCAGGGGGGGGCCGCCCTGCCGTCTCCCCACAGGATACAGGGGGGTCTCTGCTCCGGCACACCTCCCCCCCCTCCTTTCTTCCTCCATTCCTCCACTGACCTTGGTGTTCACGCAGCTGCAGCAACTCCTCCTCACAAGTCCCACTGCCCGTCACCACGTCCCTTCTTAAATACGTTATCACAGAGGCGCAGCCGATTGGCTCAATTTCCCAAACAGAAGTGGAGCTGACTTGGAGCTGGGGGAGCTTCGAGAAGCTTCTCACAGGGAGCCGCCCGATAGCCCCCTCCTCTGCCACCAAAAAACCCCACCACTCACTCAACCCAAGACAGCTGGTGAGATGCCGCGGGGGGCGGGACCTCACCCCAGCAGGCCGGGGTTCCCGATCTTGAGTGACATCATCAAGAGCCAATAGAGAGGCCGTTTTCACTCCACATGACTGGTCAGACCTGCGGGGAAGGGGTGTAGCTCCCCAGGGACCCGGTTCCAGAAGACTCTGAAGGTACAAACTACGCATGCGCCAAAGCCCAGCACGCCCTAGAGACACAGGCTGCTTAATTAGCCTGATGAGCCTGAGTACCTGCCCGGAGGAGGAGCAAGAGATTATAAACGGACACCAGTCGAAGCCCTGAGGAGTGGTGCTTCTTTGGAACTGGAGTCTTAGGTTGGCTGGGCCACGCTGGAACTAAGGCTGGTGAGATCCTTCCTTCTTGTCTCCCTCACTTGCCTGCCCTCTTTTTCTCTTTTCTTTTCCTCTCCCCTTCATTATTCCTGTATTGCTGCATATATGTCAAGGCTTGTTGGGGTATGTTTACGTTGCAGTTTGTTGGGGTAAATTGTGGGGTTTTCCTGCTTGTCACAGAGGTTGCATGGCTTGCTGACAGTTTCATGCCAACATCTGTTGTGAACAAATAAAACCTTAGTTTTCAAGTTGAAGAATCCCCAGTGTCACTTCACTGTAATCCTAATCTAGGAATCGGTGAATCTGAGTTGCTGTCCCAAAAGATTGGGATGTGACATATGTGTGCCAGGGGTCCCGCTCCCTCCCTGTGGCAGGAGGCCTCTGAACTGTTTTTTCACATTAACTGACAAGTCTTTCAAGCAGTACAACTGAATTTATGTTCTGCAATGTTTTATGTTGTGGTTTGTTTTTTTTTTTTTTTTTTTTTTCCCCTAAGGACATTCTTTCTTTTTTGTTAATGCTCTGTATGTATTTGATCTTCTTGCCTTCACAAGACAATCAGACATGGCTTGTCAGCAGTTTATTATCGAAAGAGAAGCAGAAAGGTCAAAGCGGGGTTACATGCACTAGGAAAATGTCTGGCTTAGATAAAAAATTATGAGGTCTGATCCTTTGGCATAGATAAACTCAGTATTTTAAAATCATGTCTTTCTGTAATCAAATCAAATATGAAGCTGAACTGCTAATCATGCAAACGGTTATTTTCCTTGAACCAGAAGTAAATTGTCATTTCAGTGCCTTTCTGAATGCTGCAAGAATTGAACCAAAACAGATTTTTTTTGTTGTTGTTGTTGCAAGCTAAACACTACAAAAAAAAAAAATGACAGCTCCCTAGCAGGGATTTATTTAGTATGAGCCTTATTTGCACTCAATAGGAGCTTCAAAGCAATGTCATGCCACAGCCTAGTCCCCTCTCTCTTCTTCTTCCCACTCGACTGGAAGGCATGTGCAGTGCAAACTTTCACTCCAACTACCTGGCTACTGCTCTGTGCTACCCCAGCAGGGAGAGGGTGCGTGGAGAGGTGACAGATTCTCTGTCCATGGAGAGGTTCAGAAGCCATCTGGACATGGTGCCTGTGCTCCAGCAAGGAGAGACATGGACTGGGTGCTCTCCAGAGGCTCCTTCCAGCATGAACTAATCTGTGATTCTGTCTCGGAGGGCTTATTGCTCTTGGAGACTAGTGAAAAGATTTGCCTATTCAGGAATATTGGCTTGCATAGAGAACTCTATGTGGGGAGGAAGGGAGAAATTCAGAAATGCAGGCTCTAATTTACAGCTGCAGAATTGATAATGGCCTCTCACATATATTTCAATGTATGTAATAGAAAAGACTTACCTGTCATTGCAACAGAAGGTTGATTTTCAGAATGATTTAAATGTCTCATCTTGATATCTCTAACTCTGATAAAATCAGTGGAGATGTGCAGCTCTGTCAGTAATATGTAAAAAGTGGCTGACTTTAAAATACTGATTCATATTAGTTTTACTTCATCAGTTTCACTGAGTTATTCTAGATTTATATCAATGCAAGCAAGATTAGAAACAAACCTGACATCTGCAACTTTTATATTTATTATTAAGAAAACTGTGATTCTCAGACTGCTCTATTACTGTTCCAAGCCTCCCAGTCCCATAATATACCTTTTCTGCTAAATGTCAGTGAATATATTTTGTATGACTTTTAATACTATAACATCTAATAGAAATCTGACCCTCTTGCTTAGCCTTATAAGTTGTCTTCTCCCTGCAGAAAGAACATGCCATCCACCTGTAATTTGTGTAAGTCCAGATCCCAGTAGTCCACTATGAAAGACTTGGTGAGTTGCCTTTAACCATCGATGGACTCCAGCTGCTTTCTCAGGCAGAGGCAAGGAGTCCTTTGCTAATCACTGTGACCTAAAACTGCAGTCAAGAGATAGCCTTAAGATAGAAACAGATAGTGCATTAATTCTTTCATCATACTCTATTCGTATATGGATGAGGAAAAAATTTGGCTCTTGGCAACTGTAAAGCATTCCAAAGTTCAGTGCTTCAAAGGGAAAAGAATTTTTCTTAATTATTTTGAGTGGTATAAGTAACTTATCCCACAAATTATATAGGAATAAATCTAGAAGTGTTAATTATCCTGATCTCTGACTATGTTTAATGTGTAGCTGTAGCCTTCATTTACTGCCAGAGTTAGTTTGTAAAAGCTTCTCAAAAGTGCCAGTGTTCTGCTCTTTCAATTGGGTTACTAAATGTTTAAACAAAAGCAAGTGAAATGCTCTCTTAGTAGCTAAAATTAATTTTATCTGTAAGGAAATAACCAAATAATTCATAGTTTCTTCAAGACAAATATTTTCTAGCTAATTTCTTCCTTTACACAAAGGAGTAGAAAGGCAAGCTTTCACCATGGATGTGATCCTTAGCCACTTGAGTGGCCTTGGTATTTTTCTTCATGACAAAAAATCAGATTAAGAGTAGCAAAATAGTATTTTAGAACTAAGTAAATCAGTTTAAAATCATGATTCATGTAATACTGAAGCCTGTGCAATTTCTTTTTTTCAAGAAACAGATTGAAACCAATTTCCAAATAAATTGTTTATTATATTGATTTAGCATACCTTCTCTGTCTTGCCAAAATTGATTTTATAGGGAAATTATATGGAGGATGGAGTAAAAAAAAAAAAAAGGAAGATATAGAGAGTTTGCAATATTATAATTGGAGAAATACTATCTAATGGGCAGGCATGGAGCTGGATTTTGGCATATGTGTTGACTCAGTGCTGTGGGTTCAGCAGTCTTAAGTAGCTCAAGAGGATCACTGTAACTCGTGAGGGGAGAACAATCCCTCCTTCTTTGTGTAAAGAGAAGTGGTATACCTATCCATACAGATAACTTACAAGTGGCTGACTTGTAAACAATCCATGTATATGAAACCCAACAAAGTAATATATTAAGAAAATTGCATTTGTTTTGCAGTATAAATGACTAACAAACCAAAATATTCAAGATGACTAAACATTAAAATCAACAAAGAAAATATGCATAATTTGTATGAGACAATGTTCAGATGATAATCTACTAAGCAGATAATTAACTGAATTATTTTATTATTTGATTTGATTTTACATAATAAGAACCCAGACTACAGCCACAGATCCAAATTATTGATAACTAGCTTGAGCTGTTTCGGCTCACGTATGGACTGTCAGTGTGT